ATCACCTAAATCAGCATGGATTTGAAACAAATGAAGATTTTAAATGCCTATAAATAACCGAAAAAGTCGTATCGAACCTATTTTGAGTTTCGTTTATTTAAATCAATGGGAGGAGGCATTTAAATTGACACTTCAGCAATCTGATGGTGGATCATTGACGGGCGCGTTTTCCGAATGATACTTCTTGCGCTATTTTACCTGAGAAAAAAATCGAATGAAGTTGTATAGATGCCTGTAGCCATAGTGATCAAACTAAAAATTTGCACGCTTGCATTTGAAATAGTACAATAAGTATTAACATCAGTTGCTTTAATTTTAAATGAAAAAAAGTGTATTTAGGTGGCTTTCAATACCGGTACCATTGTCTTGCATGAATGTTAAAAATGTTTGACGCTTTTATGTATGATGTCATTTTAACGACACTAAATCTCATAACCCTCCCGTGTTCCTAAAACCAAATACATGTACATACAAACATCTATATGCGGCACGACTTTGATATAATGATACAAAACGTGGTTATCTTTTACAGTGAGCACCTTTGAGGAATGTTTACCTGGGTAGAACTCACGTGACTACTAGTATTTTAAATAATTAATTCCACAGGTGGGTTCAACATAGGTCATACAGGTAAGTAGCTCTCGCTTGCTATAGGAAAAACATTGAACTTTTCATACATTTTTAATATTTTAAGTACAAGCCTAATCTTGTACAAATTTCCTACTTTCACACAAGTTTTATAAATGTATAATACGTTTTTTTGTCATTCGCACAAGTTTGTACAACGTTAGGCTGACAGTAAACAAAAGCTTTGAAATGAATGACCGCCCTCGATTTACTATAGAAAATCACGAATGTCGGCTGACCCCTACCACATTGTATGGCTTTGCTCTTTATATATTTATGAATTTCAGCGATAAAATTTGTTGAATCATAGGGTTTAGATATCAATTAATGATTTGAGATGAAAAATTATGCTTAATTTTCACATTTTACCGGGGCCCATAAGTGCACTCGTTCTTTCCAACTCAAACATTTCTTGACAAGCAAAAAAAAAGGGACAAATCCATTCCCCAAACGTGAAAAACACCTATTTCGTGGTGATGATGGTGGGTACAAGTTTTCTAGGGGGAGGGGGGGGTCCAAAGTCATTTCAGGCCCGTAGGAAGCAAATTCACTTTGAGGGGGCACACCCATACATTTTCAGTTGGGGGGCACTATCAACTATCAAGATTCCTTGACAAGCAAAAAAAAGGTCATCGTTATTATTGAGGGGGCACAAGCATATGGTAGCCATATTTTCTATAGTATTCTATACATCGGCAAAATTATTGGGGGTGCCCCCCGGTTCCTACGGCCATGCATTTTTTTTATTTGCTTCAGTATATACTTTTAATACCTCTGTAAATTCCCGGGGGGGGGGGGGTCCGGATCCCCCGACCCCCCTCTAGATCCGTGCATGTATATATATATATATATATATATATATATATATATATATATATATATATATATATATATATATATATATATATATATTCTCCCCCGCTTTTGTGAAGGCGAGTTGGACTTAAATCTCATTCTTCTGTCAGTCTGTCTACCATAAAATCTTTAACCTTGTTCATAACTTTAAACGATAAGTTATTAATATTTCACACGTACATTACCTGTGACAAGAATTTCTAAATATAGCATGATTTTCAACCCCTTGGCCTTGAAGTTTGACTTACTTTTCAAAAAATTTTAACATTACCTACTGTAAACCAACTATTATTCACATCTTTTATTCGCGACTCTTCAGTTAAGAATCCATCTACGACTACTAATTTTCGCGACTGAAGCAACATTTTACATAAATACAAGAGGTGAATAATTGGTTCTCGAAGATAAATATTTGCGAGTAAAAAAATGTTGCGAAAATGTGTCGCTTTCGAATAAAGGTTGGTGAAAAAACCTTTCCAAATATACCAATTTCTGACCCCTTGACCATTCAGTTTGACCTACTTATTTAAAATTTTAATATTGATAATTACTTTTGAAGGAGAAAATATAGGGCATTCATAGGGCATTCATATTTGACATCTTCATCACCTGTGACAAGCCATTTCCGAACATGCTATGATTTTTTACCCTGTGACCTGACTTTTGACCAAATTTAAAAAGATCTTTTATGACATATTTGGAATGAGGAAAAATAATCGTTCATACGTGACAAGTGCATCATCTGTGACAAGAAGTTGCCAAAATATACTATGATATTTGGCCAAGAGACTTTGACCTTTGAGTTTCAAATATTAATATCATTGGTGTTTTTGAGAAGATTTTTAAAGATATTTTCCCATATATTACAATGTAAAACTTTGATTCCCTATTTTGGCCCCTCCCTACTCCAAGGGGTCAAGATTTCAACAAACTTGGTCTACATAACCTAAAGATTCTTGCATAATTTAATAATTCTTATCATGGCTTTGCTGTTTATGAGAAGAATATTTTTGAGGATTTTTTCCAATATATTCCTACGCTAAATTTCAATCTCCCAATGTGGCCCCAACCCACCCTTGGGGTCATGATGTGGAAAACGATGGGTCTACACTACTTGAGGATGCTTCCATACCAATATGACTATTCATAGCTTTGCTATTTTTAGAAGATCTTTAAATCAAATATTCCTCTGTAAAAAATTGATCCCCACTGTGGTTCCACCCTACGCCGAGGTCACGACCTGAACAATCCTCAATCTACACTACCTGATGATGTTTCCATATTATTATGACTTATCATGCCTTTGGTGTTCTTGAGAAGATTTCTAAAGATTTTTCCCCAAAAATTACTATGTAATACTTTGATCCTCCAATATGGCCCCACCCAACCCCTTGGGGTTACGACCTGAACAAACCCGACTCTACAATTCCTGAGGATGCTTTCATACTAATATGACTAATTATGCCTTTGCTGTCCTTTATCAGATTTTCCCATTATATATTCCTATGTAAAACTGATCCCCTATAGTGGACCTACCCAACCCCGGGGGTCATGATTTGAACCAACATTAATCTTCACTACTTAATAAAGGTTTCATCTAAGTTTCAATTTTTGTTCCAGTGGTTCTTGAGAAGATTTTTTTTAAAATGTTGCCAAATTTCTACAAATTCTTAAACTTCCCTTGGAAGAGGGCGCTGCATTTCAGTTGAACGAAGTTGAATCCCCTTCACCTAAGGGTGCTTTGTGTCAAGTTTGGTCAAGTGGTTCTGGAGAGGAAGTCGAAAATGTGAAAAGTTTACAAACGGACGATAGGCAAAATGTAATCAGAAAATTCAGCTCAGGTGAGCTAAAAGTTTAACATTGTAAATACGAGTAACTTTTGAATGAGAGAAGAGCATTTATATTTGACATGTGCATTACCTGCTTCAAGACCCCTCTGAAAGTACTCCGGTTTTTGGCATCATGACATTGACCAGAAACTTTAATCTACAGCCTTTTACACTATTTTTACATTGGTAATTATTTTTGAGTGTTAGAAAATAGGGCTTTCATATTTTACATGTACATTACCTATATATGTCAACATCTTTCAGAAGGTGCCTCATTTTTCACTCATGATTTTGAAGTTTGACCTACTTATCAAAACATTTTTAACTTTTGCCATAACTTTTGCCCAAAATGAGACAGGGCTTTCATAATTTTTTCGCGTGTACATTTTACTTATGACAAGGCCTTCCGGACTGCATTATAATTCTAGATGGTCTTGAAGTTTGATGCAGCTTTGAGAAACTTAAATCTTTGCCATAATCTTTAACAGTACTGACATTTATGCTTTTAAAACGATGTGTGTCATCTGTTTGTACACACATTTTGTTGTGCGACTACATGTAACTACTATGCCTTTGTTCTTCAACGAACTACGTCCTATGCCTTAAATCTTGTTTACTGTCATTTTATAACTAGCATTTTATCGCTTATATGTACTGAAGTTGTTACTACATGAGAAAACACGTAAACGAGTTCCCACGCACACCTAACTGTATGTCTGTACCTACATGTAATCAGTGCATAATTTGGGGACGAATATGAAACAAAAAAGGCATTTAAAATACATTACCTTATGGATATCTGATCCTTAGCTGAGAGGATAACTCTTAAATTTATCATTTTATTTAAAAAGTCTCAAAATGAAGCTTAAAATTGAGATCTTTTCGTGCAAAAACTTTCATTTTATGCATTTCAATATGATTCAAGGTTCTTTGAAGCCTTAGAAACGGTCTTATAAAAAGTTCACATTTGAACCTCATTTTTTTTTTTTTTTTTTAGTAAAATCGAATTTCATTTAATCTAGCATTCGATACAAATGCTTATTAGCATGATGTAAAATTAAATGTGATCTGTGATGTCTAGCAATTATAGCACAAGCTTGTATAAGCGTAAAAAAGAATTCAATTTTCTCCAAATGCTTATATATTTTTTTATCATTAAATAGAATTGTTGATCAATTTTCAATTAGAAAATGCATAGCTGATATTTTTATTCACATTTCCTGAAAATATATTTGAGGTTTGATAATTTTCCCTATATAATATGATTAACTATATAAAGATTAACTTTGAAGGAATACCATGGGTAAATTCAAGTTACTCTGTGAATTCGGAGACATTTTTGTGAGCATTATCAATTACTTTTTAGCTGATTTTCAGAGCCTGAGGATCGGACTTCTTTAAGATCCATGGGATGGCAAATTCCCCTCTCTAAAAATCAGTTGTAGAATAGTTCATTTCATGTTCATTTTTTTACGGCAACAGTCGGCTTTTACGACGTGACTCAGAGATCGATAATGATCTAATTATTAATCTATTCACGTCACGAATGTACCTTTTCGCTTGAAGCAACTAATATATCCTAATTAAAATTTTATTTTTGTGGTTCCCAGTTGTTGAATTATTTATAAAAAAATGAATTTATATTTCAAATTTGAGTTCTTTTCTTTAATTTAGCAATAATGAAAAACATTTTCAGACTTCAAAGTTTTTATTCTTGACATACAAAACAGTTGATCATCTATCGTGAAATCCAAAGCAAGCATGTATCAAATCTTCACTCCTTGCTGACAATCGCATATTAGCAGTTCTTAATGAGGCTGCTGTGTTCGACTACGATATAATTTACATAAATTTGATCACCATATATTTTAAAGATAAATACTCTTGATATAACTGGCTTTACAGAAAATTTGAGCATATTAAGGAACAAGCAATCAGATACTTGTGAGGTGTACAATATCTAATAATGCATTAAAAGGATAACAATATTGTCAGTTATGGTTCTCAATAACAAAACTGTTCACAATACAATTATTATAGCAGAATTGACGAACTGGGATAAATCTTGAAATTAACTATCATACATACATAAAAGGAATTCGCACATACTGACATATATCATTAATGTTTTCCGTTTCAAATTACATTGATAAACAAGTATCATCAGTTAATATATATTGCAATATTTACAATTACTTCATTTGTATGCTTCTCTGTTGTGAAATAAATGTATTATCTATGATCTCATCAATCCGTAGTCTCGGCATGGAACCTCTTTAGAATTTTTTTATTGATAAATTTCGAATAATAGACTGACTACATAAAGGCAGGAGGCCATATTTTGTACATAGAGTAATACTTAAAATTAAAAACAAAAAAGTGGAATACATACACAAGTCCATAGTACGCCCCCTCCCCAACTTTCTCTAAAAATAATAGGTTTGTTACTGACTGTCCACAGAAATATTACGGGTTATTCAAGTCCATGGAAGGCGAGGCGAAGCTTTCAATGGACTTGAACCCGCAATACCTGGTATATCTGTGGACAGTCAGTAACAAACCTAATAATTGTTTTGTATTGTCGAGGACTACTAATAGTAAAAAAAACTTACCGAGATCAATAACAATTAAACGAATGTTCTTGTCTTTACATATATCCTCCACTCGTTATCTTGTTTAATGATCACGTTACTGAAAACGGACACCACTCTACATTTAATCAGTAGGAGCAGAGTGAATTTAAAGCGAAAATAGCGCTAGCATGACTTTGTCTTTTCATTTAGATGTCATTTTATTCGCCATGTTGCCGTCAAAAATTTGCTACGTATCGCCCAAAGAATATTTAAGGCTGGCACGTGACGTCTGTTATCCAATGACGAAGTGTCATTTTAGTCCAAGGCAATACATTTTTTTATGTAGTTCTATGTAAATTTTCATTTCGAAGCCCCCCCCCCTTCCCAACTTTTTTGATGTACGGTCAAACAATGACAAATTGCAGGAAATAGGATAAGGCAGTCACTTTTTTTGCTTGTCAGATATTTTGGTGGTTGCCCACTTAGGAAGAAGGTATGAGTAGGGAACTTTTTTGTCAATCATTTATTATAGAAATATGTATCATACAAATGCAATTTATCAGAGAATACACATTTTCCCCTAAAGAGTTCTTCAAGCATAACTTTCGTTTAACTTTAAAAATGTGTTTAATGCTGTAGAGAAGGCAAATTCAACAAGAGGACCATGGGCCACAACGCTCACCTAAGTACCTATGACCCTTTTTTGTTCTTCATCAGCAGATTCTTCTTCGTATATATTCTTATGTAAAACTCCATCGCACACTATAGCCCAACCCAACCCTACCCCGGGTTCATGATTTGATGAGAAAAGAATCTACACTACCTGAAGATGCATCCATGTAAATATAACTAATCAAGGCTTTCCTGTTTTTGATTTTTTTTAAAATGATGTTTCGTATGTTTTCCTATTGTCAATTGTGGCCCCACACTACCTCGGTACCTCCGGGGGTCATGATTTGAACAAAATTGAATCTACACTACCTGAGGATGCTTCCATATAAATATTACTATTCATGACTTTGCTGTCCCTGGGAAAATATTTTTCCTTTGTAATACTTTGATTGCCTATTTTTGGCTCCATCCTACCACCAGGGTTCATAATTTGAACAAATTTGAATCTACAATACCTGAGCAGGTCCGTAGCAACGATTTCAAAAGTCGGGGGGAACTTCCCAAAAAATCTGACACGGAAAAAAAATCCTAAACGGAAAGTGATTGGAGGGACTTCCCAAGAATAACCTGACAGGCAAAACAAGAGGCCCTGGGGCCACATTGCTCACCTGAGCCCTCTGGCTAGGAAAACCCTTAAATCAGTTCAGTCTTGAAAAGTTTAGATATAAAACAGGTTCGGGGGGGGGGGGGTTAATTTGAACTAACTCAAATCTATACTTCATAGGGATGCTTTTAAATTAATGACAAATAATGGTTTTGCTGTTCTTAAGAAGAAAATTTTGATAGATATATCCTTTGTATAACTATGATCCCCTGTTATCATGGTTATGGCCCCTCTATTCTCCTGGGAGTCATGATTTGTACAAATCGAATCTACATTACCTGATGATGCTTCCAGTTAAATATGACTAATGATGGCTTTGCTGTTCTTGAGAAGAAGATTTTTAAAGATTTTTCCTATGCATTCCTATGTAAAACTTTGATCGCCCATTGTGGCCCCACCCTACCCCGGGGGTCATGATTTGAACAAACTTGAATCTACACTACCTGAGGATGCTTACATATAAATATGACCAAACATGGCTTTCCTGTTCTTAAGAAGAAGATTTTTAAAGATTTTTTCCTATGTATTCTTATGTAAAACTTTGATTGCCCATTGTGGCCCCACCCTACCCCTGGGGGTCATGATTGGAACAAACTTGAATCTACACTTCCTGAGGATGCTTCCATATAAGTTTATTTTTTCAAGCACAGTGGTTCTTGAGAAGAGTTTTAAATTATGCCATTATTTTTTCACCCAAGGATACTTTGTGGCAAGTTTAGTTGAAATAGGCCCACTGGTTCTTGAGAAGAAGATGAAAATGTGAAAAGTTTACGACAACAACGACGACGACAGACAACGGAAAAATTTCGATCAGAAAAGCTCAAAAGTACTTCACTGTCCAAATCTTGAAATTTGCCATGCTAGACCTTACAGCAACAAAAATTGCGGGGTGGAGGGTGGGAAAAAAGAATATAATGTTACTATAGAAAAATATTCATACTCAGAAAAAGCCCCCCCCCCCCCTTGCTGTTCTACGGGCCTGTGAAGATGTTTCTATATAAATTTGACTGATCATGGCTTTGCTGTTTCAATAAGATTTTTAAAGATTTCCCCCGAAATATACCCAATGTAAAACTTTTGTTTACCCATAGTGGCCCCACGCTACCCCAGGGGTCATATCCATGATATGAACAAACTTTAATCTACATCACCTAAGGATGCTTCCATATACATATGATATGACTAAACATAACTTTGCCGTTCCTAGAAAAAAAGATTTTTCCTATATGATTTAATGTAAAACCCTGATTGACCCATGAGGGTCATGATTTGAACAAAATGAATTTTCACTACCTAAGAATGCTTCCATATAAATATGACTGATCATGGCTTTGTTGTTATTTATGAGAAGATTTTTAAAGATTTCCCCCTAAATATACCCATGCAAAATTTTGTTTGCCCATAGTGGTCACACCTTATACCCGAGGATCATGATTTGAAGAAACTTGAATATACACTACCTGTGGATACTTCCACATAAATATGATTTTAAAAGATTTTTTTTCTATATATACCAATGTAAAACTTTTTTCACCCATAGTGGCCCCGCCCTACCCCCCCCCCCCCCCGGGTGAGGGGTCATGAATAAATTTGAATTCACATTTTGTCAGGTAGCTTTCACATACATTTGTAAGTTTCATCTTTTCAGGCCTAGTGGTTCTTGTGAATAAGATTTTTAAATGAACCCACCCAATTTTTGCTATTTCTTAATTATCTCCCCTTGGAAGAGGGTGTGGTTCTTCATTTGAACAAACTTGAATCCCATTTATTCAAGGATACTCTGTCGATAGTTTGGTTAAATTCTGACCAGGTTCTGTTCGGGTGAGCTTTAAAAAATGTAAATAAAATAGGCTAAACTAGAAATGGGTCATTTCGAAGTGACGGTATGATTAATCATCAGGAAAGTAAACAAATTCTAAATATCATGATCATAAAGACAAGTAACTCTACTAAAGATAAACAAAAAAAAAAAAGGAAGATAAAATCAAAACTTGGAATGAGGGCCTTCATATCCAATACATCGAGGAATGCTTTGGAAAGAATGTCTGCTGCACTGTGATTTACATTTTGTTTACCATCAACTTCACGAACTCTGAAACATAAAAGATTTCAATAAAGGTATAATAAATAATAATAATCAAAGGCCCGTGAGCCACAACGCTCTGCTATTCTTTTGTAAAAATTTTAAAAGACTTCTCCGTTTATATTACCGTTTAAATGTTGACCCCATATTGTGGCTCTTTTCTAGCCCAAAAGGGATCATGAGTTACAAACATCACAAGCTACATGGGGAGTTTGAATATCAATGACTATTATGTGGCCTTGCAGGATTCATGTAAAATTTGATCCCCGATTCATCCCACCATACCCTAGTATCCATAATTTGAAAGAAAAGAAACTTGAATCCTCGTGGCCCTAATATCCATAATTTCGAGGGGAAAATGAATCCACGTGAGATGATGTAGTGTTGCCCTGCTACTCTCTTACTCGATTTTTAAAAAAAAATTTATACATCATACATGTATTTTCCCATGTAAAATCTGAATACCTACTTATTCAACACCATCCTAGTTCCAGGGGTTAAGAGTTGATCAATATAAATTTGCAAAATATTGGGATGCTTGCATATTTAAAAAAAATATAAGAGTCAGGGCATATCTGCTTTTGAAAGAGGATATTTTAAGTTTCCCTATTTTCCATATGAATATTTGATACCTCATTGGCCCCACCTAAACCCAAGGGGGCATTGTTTGATAAGATTTGAATCTGCATTATTTTGGAAGCTTATACGGTACCAAATTTGATGCACCAGATCCGCATTTCGACATATTATGTCTCTTCAGTGATGCTCATGCCGAAACGCTGGAATTCCGAAATATTAAATTTAAAAAAAAATTAAGAGTTGAGAAAGCATATGTAACGATTGATGTTATGTATCCTGCTGTTCAAGAGAATATTTTAAAACTTTTCTCTTACGCAACTAAAATTTATCCCTCATTGTAGCCTCATCTGTACCCTTGGGTTCATGGCTTTAACCAAACCTCAATCTGCTCTACCTGTATCTAGTAATGCTTGCGTATTACTAATGTGGCTAAGCTTGCCTACCTGTTTTTGGAGTTTTAAGGAATATTTGCTAAAGAAATCCTACAGATTTACATGTCAATTTTTAATACCCCCCTTGCACTTACCACAGGATCCATGATTTGAGAAAAATCGATTCTGAGCACCTTGGGGTACATGCATAACATGTCTAATCATGTCCCTTTGGTTCTTGAAAAATATTTTGAAAGATCTACTCCTGCATATTCATGCAAAACTGAATCCCCAGATTTTATATAGGTTTTTCCCCAAGCATAATTATTCTCTTTGATGAATACCCCCGTGGCTATCATTAGAATGAAATATGGAGATAACGAACAGTATTAATGCTCAGAGTCCAATAAAACAATACAGTGTACAAAGCGGGAGCAGAGCAAACACGGACCTCCAAAAACATCAGAGGTGGGATCAGGTGCCATTGAGGAGTGAACATCCCCTACCGACCGGTCACCCCGCCATGTGCTCCTTGTCATGATCGGGCAAGCGAAAAAATCCGGGGGTCGCCCCCCCCCCTCCCCCCACTGGAATTTGCAGAATTATTAAAAGTATATACCGAAGCAATTAAAAAAAATGACTTTGGACAACCCCCAACCCTCACTAGAAAACATTGACCCCACCACAACCACAACGAAATAGTTTTTTTTTGCACGTTTGGAAAATGGATTTTAGGTTGGTTTTAAAAATATCCACATATGTGTCAGACTCTGTGGTATCTTTTATTTCAAGCTCACTTGGATATATCGTGTCGACATATGAATGGAAGTAACTACTGTTGAGTTGGAACGCCACAGCAAGAGATTTCTTTTTGTCATGTATAGGATTTTGAATAAATTCTGCTTCATTTGAATACAAAAATAGGTCTGCTAATAACGGGGCGCAATTGGTATCCATGGGAATTCAGACAGATTATTGGAAGACCTGGTCTCCAAAAACCACATAGATATTGTCAATCAGAAACTCAAGCATCTTTTTAATATCAACTTTAGAGTACTTGTGTGTACAATCAGAATGCTTTTTAACAAAATAGTTTTGCAAATGACCAGTGACAAGGTCAGTAAATTTACGAATTCCATTTTTATTGAAAAAGCAGCTGTCAATGATGTCAAAAAGCCTGGACTTTTATTTATCGCGGGGAATGGTTGTATATAGAGTTAAAATGTGAATCTGCACCCAGGAGATGCTTGTGTGGTAATTTTCTAAACTTTATTATCTATGAATTTGGAGTTAATACTCTTTCAAAAATATGCATTGATGATTACATATGTGAAAATGAATATTTGCTAATGATGAACAAATAGTTGGTGTTCCCTTTCGTTATAGCGAGGGGTACAGGTACGACTTAAAAGACTGTCTTCTTTCTTTTCCTATTCTATGGTTTTCAATTTTCTACAGACCGTTCACGGTAGCTCAGTCGGTAGAGCGCTCGCTCCGTGATCGGTAGGTCGTGAGTTCGAATCTCGGCCGCGACTGACCTAAGTCGATAAAAAATGGGTAGCAACTGTTCCTTCGCCATGCGACACGAGTTACTAGAGTTACTAGAGTTGTAAATAAAATAAGACGTCTTCGACACGGGTGACCAACTCGTGTTACGCGAGTATACTCCTCAGTTTACCTGGAGTAACAGGTGAAAAAAATGGCGGTAAGTGAAGACGCAATGTAAATGTGAAAAGTGTTTCTGCATAAATTTGTCAGTATTTGTATTAGAAATTTACAATGTCAATGAAAAAAGTCTACAACATTATTTTGACATCTTTTTTCCTTGTTTAGTTTTCAGATTAACCTCATCAATTTACTATTGTGTTATCATTGACAGTATTTAATTTTTTTTTTATTAAAAAAGAAGTTTTTCTTTTTTTTCTTTTTTTTTTTTGACTATGCCTAATTATTGGATTAAAAAAAATGTGTATGTATATTGATCAATAAAATTATTCCTATAGATTTAACGATCGTAACATAGATATGTCGTGTTAATTAATTATATAATTCAGTTTCAAAATAATTACAGACTCCAATGTGAGAGCAATGGCAGTTACATATAAAAATCTTATAAATATGGAGGTCGCATCCCAAGATCAAGCTGGTTTGTTGTTTACAATAAATATACACTTAAAAAGGTTACACCTATATGGAAATTACCTTGTCAGCCTTCAATCATAATATTGTACCATTACATAAATGTATTTTTAAAGATAAATTTAGTTTAAATATTGAACATAGTTTTTACAGACTCGAAGTTAAAAGCCACAGCCACGTAAGACAATAAAAACCATTAAATCACATTAGCTCAAGGTTTATTTCCAACCGGCGTCACAATTTTTTGTGGTATAAATCTATAATCATTTTATTAACTTCTCAATCTTTGTATAGAGGACAAATCAAAAACAAATGAAATTCATCTTCTATGTTAGTTTTACAAAATTCAAAAATATGTTCCTTTACAATATTTCTAAGATGCCCAGTTTCAGTTGCAATGTTATGTGAAGACATTCTTATTCTACTTACTTGTTTTTTTATAAAGAGGAGGTATTGACTTTCTTAAATAATATTGCAAGGTTAAATAATCTTCAATATGTCGGTAAAAAATCCATTTTGTTGAACAATTAATTTCAGCCATGAGGTTTTGTATGAAATTATTTGTTATTTTTTGTTTGCTAATGGGGAATTGGTTATTAATCATTTGTTTGTCTTGTACAAACCAGATAAATTCAAGACTATTTTCAAAAAGTTTTTCTTTGATATTTACAACCCAGCTGTCAGAGAGTCTGTGCTGGAATATTCACATTCATTGAACAAAGAAAACACATTTTCAGGATACAGTTATCGGTTTTTGTTTTTGATATGTTTTTATACACCCGCTCCGAAGGAGAGGGTGATATACTGTTATACCCGCCATATTTAAATAAACACTGTACAACACGAGATGTTTTATTTGGATTTCTAGAGTTCAACTAGTAAGCATGCGCATATTGAACACTAGTGTGACACGGGTTGTCTTAATCGAATATACTCTAGAAAACCGAGGCCCCGTGTCACGGCAGGCGTTGGCACGATAAAGTTCCCTCACTGCTCAATGGCCCTGAGTGTCGAGTAAAGGTCAAAATTAGAAGCCCTTCACCAGTATATGGTGACGTCTCGAATGGGACGTTAAACAACATACTTTCAATCAATCAATATTTTACAGTGATTGTTTTTCTAAAATAAAAAAGTAAGTATTTTTCAAACAAACTGTATTAAACTGGTTTTGGTTCCCTAAAACGTTAAGCTGTTTTTTTTAATTTTCTTTATTGGGTACCAAATTGAAATAAATTTAAAATTACAATCACAAGCATTTCTTGAAATGACAGTTTCTTGCATGTTTTATCGTTATCTGTTAGCCCTTTCAATTTCTTCAGTATGTTGCTACATGTTTGTGAAAATATCCATCATGAAATATGGAAATAACGAACAGTATTTAAGATCAAAGTATAATACACTGTTAAGGCTACTCGTGACTATAGTATTGGTTGACCGAGGCGAAAGCCGACGTGAATCAATTAACTGACCAGGTCCCTATATAGTCACGAGTAGACATAATTCAAAAGTCAAACGTTTTATTAAATAAACAGGAATTTGACATTTTATTTCTGGTCTCCAACAAATATGGACACACATTTGTAACAACATACATGTATCAAAATTATAATATTCCAACAATTAAACTGTTCAAAAAGAGGGAAACGTATCATAAAACAAAGAAAAAGTCAACAATTTACTACAAAGAAGCTGGCGTCTGTCATATTTACACAAACAACGACACATCCTTTAAAATGCGCAATTTGATTGGTTGACAAAAATGTAAGTAAATATATGATTAAGTAAATATATGGTTGGTAAAAACCGAATAAACCTCCCAAAATTACATTCTTAAGGGAACTTTCTCTGAGGTACACCTTATAAAAGGTAGTTAAGACCAATCGGAGAGCACCAAACTTCCTGATCGTTTAATAAACTGTATTTAATATCAGATCAATTTATATATGAATAATTCATGAAATGACTTACCGTTATAGTTGACCTGCCCGTCTTTATCGAGATCCGCCTCTTTAATCATTTCTTTGATATCCTCCTCTGATAGATTCTCCCCTAGATTACGCATCACTGTCTGCAGCTCCTGAGCACTTATGAAGCCATTCCCGTCTTTGTCGAACACCTTGAAGGCTTCTCTCATCTCCTCTTCAGGGTCAATACTACTATTTTGGAACTTTATCATCATCGAAACGAACTCATTGAAGTCAACAAAACCATTGGCTATAACAAGAAAAACAACATTGCAGGACGAGAAGCAATTTAAGGAGGTATGTTATATCTAGCCATAACTAAATGCAGCTTCCTTTCTACAGAAAAAATATGCATGGGGCATAATTAAGGAGAATTAAGGGGAATCAAATTCGATATATGTGGAAAACTAATGACGGAGTAAGAGAGCTTAACCTGCTGCTTTACCAAATCTTACTCAGGGCGTTGTGCCAGACGAGGTTAGAAACATCTATAAGCTGTTACTTATACTTCTAAATAAAGTGGAAAAAAGTTAAGAATAAAGAATATGACCAACACTGGTCCATTCCAAATGTTTGACAAAACATGAATGCCCCCTAAACTTCCAGCATTTCTCACCGTCTTTGTCCACGTCACTGATCATCTTCTTGACATCATCGTCTGTAGGATTTTGGCCCAAGTTTCTCATCACTGTGCCCAATTCACCAGCACTTATCAAATTGTCTCCATTTTTATCGAACATTCCAAATGCTTCCCTCCAATCTAGATTTAAAAAGCCTCTTTGATAGACCATAAGTAAAGCAATGACCAACATATATATTGTCAAGTTAACATACATTTTAATTTTTAAAGATGAGTGCAAATAAATATTTTGAAGCATGTTAGTTATGATCGAATAATTACTTTATGTGGCACCTATGGTGATAGATTAACATTTTCCTAGGGATGCTAAACTAAAACATCTTGAATCTTTATTATTTTTTGCAATATTTTGAATCCGTCCTTTTCCCCTGAACCTTTTACAAAATGTGACGCTACACTACTACTTGAAATTGCTTTGAATTAGAAGTGGTCGTCAATTGTGAATCAGAAGTTCTGCAATGTGTTTTTAATGACTTAAAGTTTGGGATATAGACATTCCTGCATAAAATAAGCTGCAGAATTGTAGCTCTCTGCTTGAGAAAATTCGGACAGATAAAGCATGGAGCTACAGATCCAAGCGTTGTAAAAACCTTCGATTTACGCCGCCGCTTTTTTGTCGCTCACTTCGGGTATTATTTCTTGTATTGCATGCTTTTCCCCGCTTTAAGAATGGATCCAATAATTTACCATAAATTTTACTCCTATTCTTAATACTTTATTTACCTTTAAACGGTCCCAAACAGCCCATGTATATTGTCCATAAAGAAAACATTATGTATGCAAAAAGGAAAAGAGATAAATAAAAATCATTATTTCAGGATGACTCCAACATGGACGTCGAAATGTATTTTTAACTCATACTCCAAAACTACATAACGGCCTTTATGAACCGTTGAAATTAGGTAAATAAAGTATAAGGACTAGGAGTAAAATATATGTTTAATTATCAGATACCATTCTTAAAGCGGGGAAAGGCATAAAATACAAGAAATAATGCACGATTGATTGTATGCTGTTTTACGTCCTGTTCGAGAATTTTTCACTCATATAGAAACGTCACCATATACCGGTGAAGGGCTTCAAATTTAAACCTTTGTTCGGCACTTAGGGCCATTGAGCAGTGAGGGTTCTTTATCGTGCCATCGCCTGGCGTAACACGGGGCCTCGGTTTTTAAGGTCTCAACTTTCACTTCAAAGTGCCGAGCGCTTGACGAAGGAACAGTTGCTACCTAGTTTTTATCTACTTAGGTCAGTCGCGGCCGTGAATACATGACCTTCTGATCACGGACTCTACCGACTGAGCTACCGTGACGGCTAAATAATGCAGGAAGCGAGCGACAAAAATCGAAGATTTTATTACAACGCTTGGATCTGTAGCTTTCTGCTTTATCTGTCCGAATTTTCTCAAGCAGAGAGCTACAGATCTGCAGCTAAAAATTTTATTAACACCCTTTTCATGTTAAAAAATTGTCCTTTCATATTGTTAAAACACCCACAATAGTGGATATTTACAACGAAATGAGATATTAAGATTGTCATACCTCTCAGTGTTTCCTCTGGTACATCTTTCTCTGACTGAAAAGGAGACCAAAAGAACTTATCTTAATTGACAAGAAGAAATATTTTGACAAGAAAACTTAACAAGAGGCCCAAGGGCCTTAACGGTCACCTGAGTATAACAATTTAGAGGATCCATAACCTGATAAATGAATCTATGTTGCAAAAAAGCAAGAAAAATAGTATAATTAAGATCAACAAAATAATTGTTCTAGTATCTATCTATCTGTCCCCCATTTATCACTATTACCATGCAGACTTTTAACAAAATGTCTATTACCTCTCACATTGACCTCACTTGGCCTTTGAAGAACATTTAAAAAGATAAGTTATTTTTGTTTCATTTTTATTCATGTATTATTTCCAAGTCTACCTGATCATTTAGACCAAGAAAGTACTTTTTGTATTATACAATAAATGTTCTTGCATAATTCTCTTATTCTACTAACCTTTCAAAGACATTATCTACAATGATTAATTATCAAAAGTGAATGGCAAAGCTTCACTCAGTAGAATACAAATTAATAAAGCCCTGGCCAGAACACTTGACTAAATGGTCCAGATGTTCAAAATTCTGGAAAAAATACCCTTGCTTATTAAAACTTTTTATTCTGTTCGCCTCCAATATCCCCAGGAACAGAGAAGATCTTCAAAGAAATAATGCATTTTCACTATTTAACACAGCCCTACCCTAACACCAGAACCCATGACCCAGGGCATGAAATTTACAAATTTGGAAGAGGTACCCTCATTGTCATCATAACTATGCAATTACATGTACACTCATGTGCCAAATTAAAAGTCACAACATGGCTGACTCACGTGTCAAGTACCACAGTCATATATTTTCATTTCCATGTTTTACTATTGGGAAGATGCTTTGACCCAGAACTTTTTTTTACCCAAGCATAAATTCAGTTGTCACCTACTGCCTGATCAAAGGGAGGTAAGTCTTTGTTTACAAATAAAGTCGTCTGCAGAATACAAGCAATGGGTGCCAGGGGAAAGGATGTGACAGATGAGCAAAAAAAGTTGATCCTAAAACTCAGAAGTGAAGGTAACAGTGGTGGAAAAATTGGGGAAATATTGGGAATTAATAGATTTCTAGGAAAATATCAGTTTATCAAAAGGAAGTGCAAGAAAGTCAAAATGTGGCAGAAAAAGGCAGAGTGGTGAAAGATCAGACAGAAAACTTTTAAATATTGTGAAAGTTAACCGGAGAAAGACTTTATCAGACATTTCTAATCTGTATAATGAAAATACACCACAGAAGCTATTCAAAGCACAGTTCAAAGGAGATTACATGAAAATGGGTATCACAGGAGAGTAGTGAAGAAGACCACCACCATTTCAAAACAGAATAGACTGAAGCGCAGAATCTTTTGCAGATCTCATTTACACGGGACTGTAAATCGTGATTGGGCCCGAGTTATATTCTCTGATGAAACTCAAATTGTTTTGGGAAAAAACAGAAAAGTTTTTGTTTGGAGAAAAAATGAGGAAAAATGGAAACCACGCTGTCTTGGAATTAACAGTGACCAAAAGTCTCCACAGCTAAGTGTTTTGTTTTGGGGGTGCCTCACCTATGGTGCTGTTGGCATATTAACACCTATAGAGGGGAATATTAACTCCAGGAAGTACACTGAAATTCTTGATGCAAATCTTTGGCCAGTTATTACCAAATATGAACAGAACAGACCATACATCTTTCAGGAAGATAATGCACCAGTCCATACATCTAGACAGACTTGTAGGTGGAAAACTGAAAATGGCATCAACACCATAAAATGGTCCCCACAATCTCCAGATATTAACATTATCGAAAATGTTTGGAGAACTGTGAAAATAAAACTTCAAAAACGGATTTCTCAAATAAAAACTCGACAGGAGCTAATTGACAATGTTTTAGAAATCTGGACCTCTCTAACTCCAACGTACATAAAATCTTTGTATCAATCCTTACCAAAGCGAGTCCGAGTTGTTCTGGCAGTCAATGGATGCATTACTAAGTACTGAAATTCTGGGGTAAGTACCTTTATTAGATTTAGAGATATATAGCCATGAACAAAGCCCATTATTTCAGCTCTACATATCACTTCAGTCATTTTGTGACTTTTAATTTGGCACGTGACTGTAGTTGAAGATTTTCAAAGAATTCACCCATTTTCACTATATTATAAATAGAGCCCCGCCCCCCCCCCCCCTCTCACAGACAGACACAACAGAACCCCTGGGACCACAAGTTTTAAAATTTTTGTAAAAGCATCCATGCTCATCATAACTATACACTTGTTTCTTTGCTTTATAACCAGGAGTAAAAAAATATTTTGAAAGAAATTATGAATTTTCACTATATAATCAATAGAGTCCCCCCCTTTCACCAGAATCCCTGACCCTGGGGCCATGAAATTCACAATTATGGAAGAGGTATTCTTGCTTATCATAGCCATGCACTTCCTTTGTTTAAATAATACCCAGGAGCATAGAAGAAGATTTTCAAAGAATTGATGCATTTTCACTATATAATCAATAGAGCCCCGCCCAAACACCAGAACCCCGATCGAGGGGCCATGAAATTCACCATTTCTGAAGAGGCACTCTTGCTCATCATAACTATGTACTTAATTAGTTATTCAATACCCAGGAGCAGAGAAGATTTTCTAAGAAATAATGCATTTCATTATATAATCAATAGAGTCCCACCCTAACACCAGAACCCTTGAACCAGGGGCCATGAAATTCACAATTTTGGAAGAGGCAGCCATGCTTATCATAACTATGTACTTAGTTAGTTTATTTAATACCCAGGAGCAGAGAAGAAGATTTTCAAAGATTTAATGCATTTTCACTATATAATCAATAGAGCCCCGCCCTAAAATCAGAACCCCTGACTCTGTGGCCATGAAATTATCACAGTTTTGGAAGAGGCAGCCAAGCTCATCATAACTATGTTTATTTAACACCCAGGGGCAGAGAAGAAGATTTGATTTTCAAAGAAATAATGCACTTTCACTGTATGATCTATATAGCCCCACCCTAAGACCAGAACCCTGATCCTGGGGCTATGAATATCACAATTTTGGTAGAGGGCTCAATGCTTATTACAATCATCCCAACAGTTTGACTGCTTGATGTCCAGGAGTAAAGAAGAACGTTTTTTAAAGATTACGTTAATTTTGGTGGATTTAGCCCCACCCCTCAGACCCCAGGGGGGCAGGGACCATCAAATTCACAATTTTTGTCTCCCTTCACCCATAGATGCTACATGCTAAAATTGGTTGAAATTGGTTTCAGCTATTTAAGAGAAGAAGCTGAAAATGTTTAAATGTTAACGCACGACGGACGACGACGGACATAAACGGATAGCAATAGGTCACCTGAGTGACTCAGGTGACCTAAAAACCAGAAGTCTCCGAAGAGACTGTAGCTTTACTGATTTGTATCTATATTAAGAAAGAAAAAAAGCAGCTTTTGGGCATGCAGTAAATAAGAATTATGATCCCTAGTTTAGTTTACTTGTGTACCAAATTTTATTAAATTGCAAAAGGTAAAGACAAGGAACAGTGTTCGATCTAAAAAATCCACAAAAAATACAAATACATGTATGTGAAGAGGGCATATAACACGGACCCCTGAAAATTCCAGAGGTGGGATTAAGTGCCTAGGAGGAGTTAGCATCTCCTGTAGACCGGTCACACCCGCCGTGAGCCCTATGTATTGATCAGTTAGACGGAACTTTCTATAGTCAATTCAAAAGATGAAAATGTGAATTTCAAAGGTTTACGACAACAACGACACACAAAGGACAAATTTTGATCAAAAAAGCGATAAACAGAATTATGTATCCTAGAAACTTTTACTAAGCCTTACTAAAATCAAAGAGGAGAAGCGTTTTTAATTTTTTACGGACAGACAGACAGCTGGAAATAGACGGACGAACACTTTACTAATGTATATTAAGCTCTTTTTGGTCTCTGACCAGTAGAGTTAACAACAAGGAATATATAAATCGCTGTTAATTTAAATCAGCATAAAATCCACATCACAGTTTTACATTAATTAATTTAATAGTTATGACCAATGTTTAAGTTTTTCAAATGTAGGTCAAAGGTCACAGTTGAGGTCACATGATCAAAAATTTCTGTACCAATGGAAAGGTCTTGTCATAATGAGCACTCATGTCAAATATTAAAGCCTTACCCTTGACAGCGCAATAGTTATGGGTTAGGTTAAAGTTGACAACAGACAGACAGACAAACAGGACAAAAACAATATACCCCCTGGATCTTTCGATCCGGGGGCATAAAAAGGAAAATTCGTCCAAACTCGAAAATCCTCTTTCATTTGGGGAGGGGATGTTAAGTTCCAAATTTTATTCCTAAATATTCTTTTTCTTAAACTTTGAGTCTTTATTAATAAAATCCATGAAAACTTCACGGGATCTTAATCTACGTGCATGGAAAAGATAAGTTGACATATACTAGCTGCTGTCTTCCCACAAATTATTATTAAAATAGAAAATTTGGTGTAGGGGGAAATAGTCATAACACCAAATTTTCTATTTTAATAAAAATTTGTGGGAAGACAGATACATTGTATATAATGCAATATTATAATAAATTCATCTTTTGTTTTGAGAATGTAGTACTTTTGGAAAGATATGTATTTTTAAAAAGTAACTTTTATGGAGAAAAACATAAATTGTGTTTGAGTATTTAGTGTCAGAATTTAGCACAAAATACATGTATTGTTACAGTGAAAGAATTCAATTTGTCACCCAAGATTTTCTTCTTTATTCAATGTAAAACAGTTTTTGTACAGGTGAAAAAAAGACTTTCTTTTACAAACATTGACATGTCCAACTAATGGATTCCTATTGTATTTTAGTAAATAATTTTCCTATGAGCTTTTAGAGTCAGATGTTCAATAAGCATGATAATCAAATAATTACGTAATAGTGTTGATCTCTTTTGTGATTTTGTCTTTTTGGTTAAGAAGGCCTAAGGGTCTGAAGTCAAGCACAGGTGTTCAAATTTACTCAATTACTGTGGCGGTCATTTTTTATGTCACATGATCACTCCGTTTAATTAATATTCTTTATTCGGAAAATTTTCACAACTTTTGGCTATTCACTAAAGAAATACTAAATTTTGATTGGCTGAAATCCTGTAATCCAAAGACGCGGAATCGTAGGTGAAAATGCACCCTAGCTCGGTCACTTTCATCGACGATTCCGAGAAATAAACTTCAGTTAATTAAAAATATATTTTCTTTATTCTTTGGATATTTACAGGTATGTAAATCATATATTTTTCAGTTAATTGATTCATTTTCCATTAAAGCAATTCTGTCTATTTCATTAATAATTTTGAAAAATATTAAGTATTCTATTGATTAAGTATTTTTATTTATTTCTTTTTTTTTTCTAAATTTGAGCTTTGAATTAAGTTTCCTTTAAAGATTTTATTGTTGCATAATCTTTATGCATAGTGACCTCATTTAGTCTTTTATAGTTTATAGTTGCATGTTTTATTGTTATAAATGGGTTTAGCGACAGTCTCAAGTAAAGTGCATTGTTCTTAGAAAAGTTATTTGTAATTTAGCGCCATTATATTCATTTTGCGTTCTTTAATGTAAGGAGGTAAAAATGTTATTTGTTTATGTTTAAAAACGCTGGAAAAGTAAAATGACTTTAGAGTTAAAATCGTAAGTAAACAAGCTTTTGATTGTTAAGATTAATGTTAGATTTAAATACTTTCTAGTTCAGTCTATTTGTAATTTTAGTTCTTTATTGATCAAAGTCAAGAGATGCGTGTAGCGTTGATAAGGATCGTTTCGAATTTTCTCTGTGTATGAATTAGAACCTTGAGACTGTCAGCTGTACTGATGTGTAGTTTAGGTTTATTTTTGGTATCTACGTTGTGTTAAAATGTCACGTCACAGAGGGATTTTTCTCAAATTGTTTAACCCTCTGTACAGTCACCTGATCTAACTTTAAAACGTATTTTTATAATATTTTGAATTAATTGTGTAACTGGTGACTGTTTGTTTATAAGCATTACATTACACTTTCATCGACGATTCCGAGAAATAAACTTCAGTTAATTAAAAATATATTTTCTTTATTCTTTGGATATTTACAGCCACCGTAGAGGACAGACCAAATACTGCCCACGAGTAGAGCAAATCCAAATACGGAGTAAAGAATTTACAAAGCGAGTGATTCCCCAAATTAATATATATATAACAAGTTCACGTATAACCCCAAAAGAACAACGTGACACTGCAATAATGTAGCCCTCTTTGATTTCTTTTTTTTTTGGGGGGGGGGGGGAGGGAGGGCTAGAACTCCATAGGATCTCCGTAATGGTGCAAGTGCGGGAGTGATTCACTACCGCACAGATTTCGGCTCAAATTATCAGTAAGTGGGTATTTTATTAACATACCTTACCTGAACTCATAAAATGTAGTTATGCAGGACATGAATTGATCCAAAAATATACAGAACAATCCGTATATCGATTATTTTTCGTGTATGTCAACATCACAACTTGAATTTATCCGCCATGTTAACTGACCTTGATCGATTTTATTTTGGGACAACCAATGAGAATTCAGGATCAAGGGGAGCGGATCTTTTAGGATTTCCCTTATTTTAGTCATAAATATTACTGTTTATGAAAAAAAAATGTCACATGGAATGCTTTTATTTATCAAAGTTTAGTGATACCATACAACACAATCATTTATCAACACCGACATTTGCGTTACATGTATCAAGTGATTCTAAAATTCAAGCGCAAGTCTCGGTATATCACGCGAGAACTGTCATGGCTGCTGAGGAGAACGACTGGTAAACACGCAGATTTATTTTACTTGGTTTTCGCGTATAAATGGCTATGATGTTGATAGTGAATAAAAATTCCGTCTTATTGGAAGTAAGTTGTATGTAAAAACAATTTATTTTGCTTGCAGTCGTCCATAGCTAAAAAATGAATTTGCACCATTACGGAGATGCAGTGGAATTGTAGCCCTCTCCTGAAAATATCAGATTAAAAAAAATCGGAGAGGGCTACATTATTGCAGCTAACATATACGTACAGATTTTTTTGAGTCTTTTCTCTTAATAAAAAACTAATTCTCCCATACTTTCACAACTTACTAACAGAAGAGGATTCATTCATCATTTGAATAAACGTTAATAATCTTTAACCTAAAGTATTGTTTTGAAAGTGCATGTTACATTAAAGTTTTAGAATTCAGAGAATTTAATACTAACTATAACAACAATCTAGATTGTTATAGTTAGTTTTAAATTCTCTGAATTCTAAAACTTTAATGTAACAGAAGTATTTTAACATTTTTTTCAACGGTTCTTGAGCATAATTGAGTGTGAGGTCTGAAAAACGGAAAATAACGAAAAATCGACAAAATTAGCAGGATTGTATGATCCAAGTTTTATATCACCACATTTATTTGATTCTCTTAAGTTTTTTTTTTTTAAACTATTATCTACTAGTCTTTGCTCTGTCATGATTGATACCGTAAATCTGGAAATTTTTACGTCGATTTATTTTTGCGAATCTGGGTCAAAAAGCTGCTGATTAATTTTTACGTTTCAAAATTTTGCGAATTGCCATTGGTGTTCAATTGAAAAGCGCTTAAAATTTTCAAAACAGTTTATATGTAACGCATGTACATACAATAAATCACGCATGTACTCGTACGTATACAATACTAAGCGATGCCAACGTTCAATAATCAGATTTTAAATTACGCATACATACAATAAATTCCGCATGTACATACAATATTAAACGATTGCAACGTTCAATAATCAGATAAAAATATTAAAAGCAATAAAACATCTAAACTGTTTAAAGTTGTCATAACATTTTATTAAATCACGCATGTACATAAAACGATGTCAGCTTTAACTAACCTTCAAATAAAAACATTCTCTACCGGGTATAAGAAGAGAAAAACGTCTCATTAATATTGAATTACATAATATATATAAAACTGGCCTCTCTTTCTTGGAGAAATAATTTAAAAGAGACACGAATGTAGTGAAGACACTTTCCATGCACGGATTATCACGGGTAATTAGCTTGTAGTATAAACAGGTTTCTTAAATTAGCTACTGCTTATGAACACCTGTTCACTGGGTTAAAAAAAATAGCCACCAGCTGTCAGCAAACTTTTTGTTTACATTTTTTGTTGTTGATTTATTTTTAAGAAAAATATTTTTGCGAATGCAATGCACACGCAAATTTGCTAAAAATTTATCTACAGTAAAAATTTCCAGATTCACGGTAACTTATGAACACAAAGCATCGGCTTATATCCAATTAATACATGCTGGCCTCTGATACCGTAAAAAATTGAACGATCAGTAAAACAAGCTTTACTTTTCTGAGTCAATAGATCAAGGACAAGCGTAGACAGGATTTCTTCACCCTCTACCGTCTAAGAATGCATATCATGTGTCATCACCCACGGCATCACGTATGCTAATCTTCATTATCTATTACACTAGTATATTTCATCGCAAACACGAAGAAAAGATAGCCTTGATACTTCAATGATACAGGTCTTTTTTTTTTTGTTTGTTTGTCACTAAAATAAAAGATATAATATTTTCAGGCCTCATATACCCCGGCTGGAAAAGCAGGAGTTGTATAGTGATGGGGTGCCCGTCCGTCCGTTACGCTTTGTACCCATCTCGTTATCCTCCTATATCACTCACAGAATAAAATTTAATGAGATTTTCACAGAATTTTTATTACATAATGCCATTGTTGACCTCCTATTAATAATTTTTACTTTTTGATTGAACACATATTTCAGGTTTCCCACAGCAAAACATGGGCACTGCCTTCTATTATACCAGGGGTAAATATCTCTTATCCACAACTCCTTCTATATCACTGAATAAAATATAACGATTCTTTATTTCACAGTGCCAAATGTTGTGCACCTCCTAACTTATTTTTGATCAGACACATATTTCACGTTTCCAGTAGCAAAACATGGAGACTGCCATTCTTTCTATATTATTCGGGGTACCCAGTTCTTATCCGCAACTCCTCCTATACCACCGAATAAAATTTGTTGATACTTTCATAGAATCTTGCTACAAAGTGCCATTGTGCACCTCCCATTTTATACTTTTAATTGGACAGATATTTTGGCTTTTTCATAGCACTAAAAAAAGACTTTGCATAATACTCAAATAATTAAGGGCGGGGGTATCATATTTGGGCTCGCTTACAGCACCTTTAGTTTAACTATCAGAACAATTATATATTTTATAATGAAATACCTTCGACTGAGATAACATACAAAAAGCCACAATTCGTTCAAATCTCCTCAATATTGTTGGCCCTACTTTGTCCTGGAATATCAAATGTACCATAGGGAAAAAAGTCCTGTTATAAGATTTTTTTCTATTTATGTCACAATTGCAACTTTACTTTATTCAGTCCATCCGCCCTTTTTTCTAATTCACACATTTAAACAGATCTGCAATTTACGAATGTTTATTATTCTGTCTTTCTCAAGTATGAAATTAATCGCCCACAGTGTATGAAATGAATCGCCTACAATGTTTGTAAAATTATATTGTTTAAGCGCTATGTAGGTGGATGATTTGATAACACACGTGACCTTCGGCAACAGGTATACTGAATTGTCCTTTGTTAATTAGAGCGTTGTAACATTGTATGTTTAGTGGGGGAAATTCTGGCCTTTTTTTATATTCATTCTCTGATCATAACATCTGGATACAATAGTGATGAATGCAAGCTCGCTATTCACTGATATCCGTACAGAGGTGCAAAAAATTAAAGCAAAAACAAAAAAAAGTTCAGAAAATAAGACATGAATGTAAAAGGAAAAAAAACATATACACCAAGACTTACCATGTCTTTCAATTTTACAGTATAAAACTCCGTCAGAAATAAAATCCTGGTGTTAAAAAAGCGAATAATAGAAAGATACCACTCTCTCTGAGTGGTATGCCCAGTGTTGATCTCCTAATGTAGGATTATCTTCTTCATCGCCGTATCATAGGCGGGTTTTACGCATGGATGCTTTCGCCTTTTTCAGTATCGCTTACAAGTAATATCAGTCCGTATTGGATTAAATGCCATATACTGTAATGAAGTGTTATTTCAAATTCGCTGAATTATCCCCATGCAATCAATCACGTCTAATATCCCCGATCTCTTACACTGTGTTGAGAGCGACGGATCGCCCGTCTTCTAGCCGCGGTGTATTTATAGACAACTCTCTACGTTACCGTGTGTAATTGGAAAAACATACTTTATGTTGCTTCACCCCTCTTAATTGATACTTGTTGGCAACTAGAATGTCATCATTCTTTTTTTTCTCCCTTTAAATGCAGGTTGATCTATATACTCGGGTTAACCTCATATTGTTCATCTACAGTTCGTGTATACTACATGTGTACATGTACTGTACATGCTTTGATATACAATCTATATGTATCCACTAATTAAGTACTTGTGGTTTTTGGTGAACTGTAAAGGTACCCCCTCCTTTTGGTAACATTTTTTCAATGGGTACCGGTTTGTTGGATTCTTGCAAATTTATGGAAGTCTTTTTTAGATAGTAAATAAGCAAAATCTAGCGTAAGTATTTTTAACAAATGAATAATTAGTTTATTTTATTTCAAAGATATTTTCGAGATTTTTTCGCATGCACCTAACGCATCTCCCCTTCCGACGGCCCTGCGCTGACAACGTATTTAACACATTCCACAATATGATTTGCTTTTCATGTCAATCAGTCGTTTCTCAGGTACAATTTTTCCTTCTGTAGTCATGCATTATGGGAAAATTTAGAACGTTGTCGAATTAATGGTAACCGGCAACTCAAAATACATTCCCTGTATTCTGATTAGGTGTAAACCTTAGAACACCATTTTTCTTCTGTGGTTCTAGAATATTTTCAACACCTCCCCATATTCGTATTTTTAATAATATTTCCCTGGTTCTTATTTTGATTTGAGATTCTGTTTGGTCTTATTTCCGAGCTTCCTAACTTATTTCCTAACTTCATTTGGCAGAGAGTTCCAGAGCTTTGCCGCCTCATAGCTAAACGATTTCATTCCATACCTTGTTGTTCTTGGTCTTGGGACCTCTGCAGTATTTGTATATCTAAAATTTTATGAATTGTTTTTAAAAACAACTAGGTCTCTGAAAAAAAAAAATAAATAAAAAAAAACAGGACTTAAACCTTGGATAATTTTTAAAGTTTCTATGGCACGCATCCTTCTAGTTTTAAGAGATGGTAGTTTAGATTTCTGTAACAGACTTTTATATGAGCTTTTATAATCTTCATACGTAAATCATAAAACTCTTTCCTGTTTTTTTTTCTTCAATTTTACGAGTGTTCTGCTCTGTACAGAAGTGCCATGTTAAAGGGCAATAACTGAAGTTTGACATTATGAAAGACTGATATACGTATTTTAAGTTTTCCTAACTTAGTAATGCTTTCCTATTCGTTTAAGAACATTTAATTGCCTTGCTGCCTTTTTTTACATATATTTGTAATATGTGTATCAAAAGACAACCTGAAGTCAATAGTGATGCCTAGAAGTTTAACCTCATTATCACAGGGAATTTTGATTCCATCTAAATCAAAACAATGTTTTACTTTGTGTTTAGTTATACCAATAGAAGTTGCCTGAATTTTTTCAGGGTTAGTCTGCATTTTATTTGAAGAAAACCATCTAATGAGAGATCTTCTGCCATATTCTAGAGCTGCTTCAACCTGTTCCAAAGATTTTTCAGACTTTGATAACGTGTTATTATCAACTTAATTGTAAAGATTACATTGATCTACAAAGAAGAACAGGTCATTTATAAATGTGTCGAATAACAGGGGACCAAGAATAGGTCCTTGTGGGAAACCTTTAATGACGCTTAACATGTCACTAACATGATGCCGTAATTTAAAACATTAATTGTTTTCTGTGTGAAAGGTACATGAAGCTGTTGAGCATATCTTGTGCTGATTCCGATAGGCTATAGGCTTTTAGCTTCAAAAGAAGTAGTTCATGGGGAAGGCAATCAAAGGCCTTGGAAAGATCCATTAAAATGGCTGCAGTGTATTTATTTTTATCCGGGCATATTTCCAGTCTTCAATAACTCTTAATAAATCTGACTGATATCAAAAACCTGTCCGAAAGGCTGATAAAAATGGATTAAAATTTTTATTTAAAAATTTGATAACTGTGTTTCTATTGCTCATTCGAAAAGTTTTAACTCTCTATCACAATTTCTTTAACATTTCTTAGATCACTCAAATTGTCTTCTTATACCTTTACTAGTATTTGCCGTCTAATCAAGTATTACGAATTTCATTTAGGACTGACAGAAAACATTTTAAACTGTTGTTTCATAATTCAAAGTCAAAAAATATTAAATCCATGAAAATTCTATTATTTAAACTAGGCACATTTTGCACTTCTGGTAAACAATTTTGATGCGAAAAAGAGACGATATAACCTAATACATGTAGTTGGTTCATGCTGGCAAAAAGATACTGTAACTGATAAATCTATTAATGTACAATCACGCTATTTTTATGCCCCTGGATCGAAAGATCCCGGGGGTATACTGTTTTTGTCCTGTCTGTCTGTTTGTCTGTTGTCAACTTTAACCTTGCCCATAACTTTTGATTGGTTGGAGCTATGACTTTCATATTTCACATGTGTTTTACTTGTGACAAGACCTTTCTTTGGGTACCATCATATTTGACCTTGACCTTGGAGTTTGACCCACATTTGCAAAATTTTATGAGTCTTTAACCTTGGCCATAACTTCTGAACAGTTGGTGCTTGGGGTTTCAACCTTCACATGTGTATTTCTTGTGACAAGGCCTTCCTCTGGATATCAACCTCTTTGACCTTGACCTATGAGTTTGAGCTACTTTTGAAAAAAACTTTAGCCTTGGCCATAACTTTTGAACGGTTGGAGCTAGGGCTTTCATACTTCACATATGTAATCCTTGTGACAAGACCTTCCTTTGAATACCAACAACTTTGACCTTAACGTTTTACTTACTTTTAAAAAACTTTAACCTTCAACATAACTTTTGAACAGTTGCAGCTAGGGCTTTCAAATTTCCTCGAGACAAGACCTTTCTTTGGGTACCAACATTTTTTATCTTTTGGCCTGGATTTTGACTTGCATTTGAGAAACTTTAACCTTCACCATAAGCTGCCATACGGGGGCATCAGTGTTTCACAAACACATCTTGTTCGCAATGTTTTCGGACTATAATATAGGTTACTTTTGCTAGTTAAGGTTTTGCCAAGTGTCAACATGTCCAAAAATTTATTTTTACAATAGCTCCAAAACTATGTGGTTTATAAAGTTAAAACTTTTACAGTTTATAAATACATCATTGATTAACAGATAGAAAGTATCACTTGATAACAAATACTTAAAAAAAATATTTATCGAGAAAAATTCTTTTTAAAAAAATGCATATATTTTTTAAAAAAATACACCTAATTAATTCCGTACTTTTAGTGAAAGCCATCATTGCAGAAACAATACAATGTGTATTTGTTTATCAATGAAGGGCAAGTTGGACTTCGATAACCTCTGGAAAGTTGTTTTCCCTGTTTATTTTGTCCAAATGTTAAGATTTGAAACCGAAAGTACATTGCAAATGGCGGATTTTATAGGGGTCTTCTCTTTATACATGTCATGCTTTCAATAACAGCCTTTCAGAGACCGTTCACGTCCAACTTGCCCTTCATTGATAAACATACATTATTTCTGCAATGATGGTTTTCACTAGAAGTACAGAATTAAGCAGGTGCATTTTTATAAAAATATGCAAATTTTTTGAAATTTTTTTCTCAAAAATTTTTTTTTTTAATTATTTGTTTTCAAGTGATACTTTCCATCTGTTAATCAGTGATATATTTATAAACTGTAAAAGTTTTAACCTTATATCTCACATAGTTTTGGAGCTATTGTAAAAATAAATTTTTGGACATCTTGACCTTTGACGTAACCTTAAGACGTAACTTAACTAATCAGACTTTCAGCTTTCTTATATATATATATATATATATATATATATATATATATATATATATATATATATATATATATATATATATATGAAAAAAAACATGTATTTGAGTTGTTGTAAATTTTGCATTTATCTCCCCCTAGTAAATTCAAAATTTACAATATGATAGTGTATCAAAACTCCCCAATTAAATACAAATGCGAAAATTTGTCAGAGGGATATTCTGAAATAGAAAAATATCTTTCTTTTTTCCAAACTTTTAGTAATCTAATCAGATAAAAGATGACGTATGAATTGAAGAAGTTAAAGTTTTCAGTACTTTCATCTTTACAGTCCATCCAATTTCATCGCTGGACAGCCGAAGTGGAATGCTATTGGAAACATTGTTCTCCAGATCTTTATGATTTGGTTCAATAATTCCCTTTCACATCGGAATTTCTTTGATTAATAGCACAATTTGGTGTTTATCGTATGGAAGAGTAATCGATTTTTTCATAAAACACTGCAAATTATATCTAGTATGAAGTTGGCCGGGGCGTATAAATCAAATATCTGTCCAAAACAACACCGCCATTTCTACAGCTTCGATGGCCAAAGATGATTTTCATACAAGATTGGAACTATCGATTATTACATCCCTGGAAAGCGACCTGGAAATTAAGAACAAGAAAACATGACGAAAGAAATCGGCACTTAAAGTGTGGAGCACATGTACACTTAAGATACTCTTTCTTAATCAGATACTTCCTTACTCTCATCCTCATCAATATTGTCTACTTAATTTTCTTCCGCAAGTCTTTTTTCAATCCTTGTATTTATAATGTACTACAACGTCTCGTGAGAAAATCTTGATTACATTTATACAATATCTACGTTTTTCATGCTTTTTTTCCAGTTTATAAATCACAACATTTTTTAAAGCGTAGTAACCGGCCCCGGTAGCTTACAGGCAGGCGTTCGCTTCGTGATTGGGAGGACTGGGAAGTATTCTCGTTCGCTGTGCCGCGTTAAACCTAAGACAAAACATTATTGTTATACCTTTTACAAAATTATTTTGTTGAAAAGCATTCTGATTGTACACATAAGTACTCTGAAGTTGATATTAAAAAGATGCTTGAGTTTCTGATTGACAATATCTATGTAGGTTTTAGAGATCACGTCTTCCA